CTTCATAAATATCTAACTAATCTTATAATCCGATTTATTTCTTGTTGAAGGGGAGGCGTCTGGCCACTGCCATGGACCATGAAAAATAATACTGCAGCTACACATAAACTGGATCCTGCGAAATTTGAGTTTAGCGTAACCTCGAGCTCAGCTCCAGATATTCTAGCAAAAGCCTTTAGAAGATACAAAAAGTGGACATTTCCAGATTATAAAGACGTAATTTCCTGAAAAATTACTTAATAAAGAACAAAATTAAACGAAGTGAATAGACAAGAAAATTGTTCTTATCAGTTACAAATGCATTATTTGCAAGACGAGAGCATAAACAAAATAAAAATTACAGCATTTAGTTAAATACAAACGAGCAAAAAACACTACACGTTAGGTTTCGCTTTATAGCGCGGTTCTTTAGGCACGTTAATTTTAAGGGTTCGTATCCTCCAGTAGTAGAAGCAACACTTCTGGGCTTAAAAGTCACAGTAAAGAAAGCTTACGATGACTCTTATCCGCAGCTGGATATGGATGAATCCTGTAATTGTTGTATTCTATTCTTCTATTTGATACAACAATTCTTTGCATACAAACTTATTTGATTTCTAGCGTTTGATGCTAAAGCCAGTACTTAAAATGTCAATGAGGTTACTTCTAGATACGCTAGAAATTGGAACTTCAGAATATGCTACTCTGACAGCCAACGAAGTTTGGGGAGCACTACGAGGACTGGAAACATTCAGTCAGCTAGTCTACCAGCCAGACATCAATGTTGTAAGCAGTTTTTTTCGTTATCAAAATAAAAGTAAACAAAAGCAAAGAAATAATATTTATTAATAAACCTCTGATCGTATGATTTTTTTGAATTTCTCAAGCTTACGTCTTTTGTTTCAACTAAGTTTTTCAGTTCACCAACAGTTTAACTTTTTTATTATGTAAATGGCATTTAAAAAAACAACGAATAAAAAAATGTTGTTAAGAAATTAATCAATCTATGATTGCTGAGTTTGAAACCTGTATCTTTTATCTCATCTAAATTTATCTGCCTACCAATAATCAATGCATTAAACTTTTGGAGTAGTGAAGAAGTAGTTAAAATGAAATTAAGTATACTCAGTAATAATAATTTCGATATAAACAGCTGCAATAAGAGAGAGATAGTTAGGTGTTGTAAAGCCAACAACATAATGCAGTAATTGACAGCAGGAAAGGCAGCATAACCACCGTTTATTAGTGTTCAAGAAGCTATTCATGACAGTTTAACAAGTGAGTATACTGAAATTGTCGTTGATACAATATATCACATTATTTCAAAAAATATAAACTTGTTTCCTTCCAACTGGAAATATTCTATTTTACTCTGTAGAGCAATTATCTACTGTGCACAATGCTCTCAAATTTAATTTTCTGATAGTAACTGACAGTACAAATACAAATAATTGCAGTATCGCACCTATGCCACTCATATTGAGGATAAGCCACGATTTAAACATCGAGGCACATTGATAGATTCATCACGACATTTTCTTTCTGTCAGCACCCTCAAGATGCATTTGGTAAAACAGTTACTTTTGATGTAGTAAATCAAAATGCCTGTAGTCGAGTATTGTAGAAGACCTTAGGGTCTAATACACACTTGTGCTATAGATATAATAAAACTTAAAGACCTTTAACTGTAGACCAGTAATTTTTCATTGACATTAAGCTAAACAATAAAAATTTTAAAAAAGTTAATTTGAGCAACAATAATTGTAGGATTTAATGGCTCAAAATAAAATGAACGTATTCCATTGGCATTTGGTGGACAGTGAATCGTTTCCTTATCCCTCTGAAATATTCAAAGATTTATCTGCCAAAGTAAGTTTGGTTTTTAGGTTCTGTTGTCTTCGCAAATAACTATGTCGGTAAGAAACAGCGTATTTCTATAAGCTAAATTCTACAAAATGTTACTTTAATACAAACGAAATCGGTTATTACTACCAAAAAAATAATCTTCGTTTTATACCAAGGCAGTTCTTACACTGTTCTTTACGATAAAAATAATTAAATATTGTTCTGTAAAAGTTTTTCTTTTAGTAATTATTGGTCAATGAGTAATTGCAAAAGTAAACTAAACCTCTTTTCTAAGAGTCTTTTTTATCTAAAATAAAAGCATGATAACCGTTTCAGATTTGTTCTGGTATTATTTTTATAGGGAGCATACACTCCACGACATGCATATACACGAGAGCAAGTTCAGGAGGTGATTAAGTATGCAAAAAATCGTGGTATTAGGGTTGTTGCTGAATTTGATACACCAGGTTTGCTTTAACCAGACTGGATCTTTTCGAAAAGTTTTTAAAACCTGAGTACGCATTTCTTCGTCATACCAATTTTATCAAGCTTTTTTTATTTTGAAACTAATTTTTCACAAAGATTCTGCCATTATAACATATCAACAAAAAAAACTGTTACGATTTTACTAAAATATCACAAAATCTTCTTTAAAAAAGCACTGAAAAATTACAGTAAAAAATTCATATATACAAGACTAAGTGGCTATCTAAAAACTTTCTCAGGTCATCTGGGTGGTTGGGAACCTGGACGAAAAGGACTTTTGAGTAAATGTTATGATCGTGAAGGTAACAACAATATTTTGCCAAACATATTTGATCCATCAAAGGAAGAAAACTTTGATTTCCTAAAACAGTTTTTCAACGTTAGTTTACTCGTTTGTTTATTTATTTCTTACAAATAACATTTTTTGTTCTTAATCTTTCTAATATTTACCAGTCATTAAAGCAAATACATTATTGTCTGCAAGTGTTTTCTGAAAATACAAAAGCAGTTAACATATTGAACCGATATTTTTTATGCTGATTCAGGAAAGCGCTCATACCTTCCCAGATAATTATATGCACTTTGGTGGAGATGAAGTTTCATCTAGTATGCTTCAATGTTGGTATGTTTTAGTTGCCATAATTATCAAAGAATCAATTTAAGGTGCAACTAAAATCTTTAGAATTTTCTAGTTCTTCGTTTTTTACTCTAAATTGCCAATATTATTTACTGATAGAAAAAGGTTAGTTGATCTTCAGGTATCGTAATCCAGAGGTTCGAAAATGGATGGAGAATAACGGTTACGGCACTGACACTTATAAAGTGCTCAACTATTACTTCCAGCGGTAAAGTGGAAATTTTTTACAACTGTGAAACATTAGAATGATGGAGGGAGAGTATTTTTCATCGAAAGACAAACATTTAATTCGTTGAAGGAAAAAGATACGAAAATTTTTGTCACGCTTTATGTGTAAAAAATTTCAATGTTATTCTGAGGCATAGTTAATTTTAAAAGATTTGTACAGCGATTTTAGTTAAATTAAAGTTTGTGGGTAATTAACAGCGCTACTCTAAAATAGTCTTTTATTATTTTTTCGCAAGTCTTATTTTTATAAGATAAAATTTAGCTCAAATAAAGTAAACAGAAATTTAGAGCAAAAATTAGAGTAATTAAATTTTTTTAGACTCATAGAAATAATCCAAAATCTAGACCGGAAACTTCAAATGATTGTCTGGCAAGAAGTATTAGACAATAAAGTTTCAGTACGTATGCGTATTCTTTGGATTCCAAATCTTTGTCAAAACTTTCTCATTTTAAACTTCTTTTAAACAGTTAACATTTAATCAGTAAAAACTTGTTATGTTTTAATGAAAAAAAAAATGGTGTAAGTGCACACTGAATTAATCATTATATTAACTAACTGTAAAAGAACTGTAGGCACCAAATGTTATTGCACATGTATGGAAGGGTAAAAACTATGCTGAGATAATGAGTGAAATGAACAGCGTAACGAAAGCGGGGCACCATGCTATTTTATCGTCTTGTTGGTACGTTGTAAAATTAACGCCTTGTACAACCAAAAAATTTTGATTTTTTTTAAAATTAGTGGTTTGTTTGTTTAATAAAAGAACAAGTTACGCAGGCATTTTTTTGCTCTACAGAAGTAATGATTTTTAAGGTACTTAAATTACATTAAATATGGCAACGATTGGGGATACCTTGAAAATTCAAATCTGCGACTTCGTGGTATGTACTACCAATGTGATCCAACTGATTTTGAAGGTACAGAACAACAAAAACAATTGGTGCTTGGCGGTGAAGCAACCATGTGGGGAGAATATGTTGATGGAACAAACTTGATTCCACTGTTTTGGTAGGCAGACTGCTGCAAATTTAGAGCACCGTTACTTAGACTCGATACCTTCCAACCCACTGCTGATTTAAACCTTTGTGTTTGTCGACTAAGAGAATTAACATTGATAGAATGGGTGGATATCTGTCACTACACTTGAAAACTCTGTACATTTAAGGCCCAGAGCTTCGGCTGTAGCAGAACGACTTTGGAGTGACCCAGCACAAACCAAAAGTGCTGATGCTGCTTGGCCACGACTTCATGAACACCGCTGTCGAATGTTACGTCGCGGTTTTGCTGTTCAAACGATTAACTTTCCAAACTACTGTCCAGTTGAATGGGATCCACCATATAAAGACTCGGATGCGTAAAAATCTTGGGCAAAATCTCGCTCATAA